ATAAATAGGCTTGCCCACCTGTCTACTTATATCATTTTTCTTATTAACTACAATGATTGTATTATTTAATAAGATGGTGGCTGCTTCAATGTGTGTTGTAGAAGACAAGGAACTTAAAAAGGAGATTGTAGGAAGAGTGAGTCAAGAATAGAGACAGGTTGAAAGTCGAGGTTGAATTTTTTTGCTAAAAATTTCTCAGCTGCAGAATAAGCAGTATTATTGAAGTATTTAACAATTTGTAAATAGGTTGGTTTTTGGTTTTTTACTACATCAAAGTAGGTAATAATTTGGGCAAGAAATTTAGTATCAATAATGTTTTTGGTTAATAAATTAATTGCCTTCTTCTTGAAAAGAGACTGTATATTGTGATTTTCTGCAGCAGTCTGGTAATATAGAAAGAGGTAGTAGTAAAAGTAATAGTTGTGATATTTAGGATTTGTTTTGACTTTGTTTTGATTACAAACAAAATCTTCAGCTTGATCTGCTAGTTTGTTGAGAGCTTTGATAGGAATGGGTTGGTCGAGTGATGCAGCATGTTCTTTGTTTTTTTGAAATAGTGTAGTGTTAAAGGTTGAATAAATTCATGTTTCATTATCTTGAAGAGAAAATGTTAGGTGAAATTTGCTTAATATGTCATTAAAGAGTTTGGTACTATTATAGAATTTTTTATCATTAAGATATTGACATAATTTGTTGTCACAAATGAGATAATGAAAATTTGCAATATGAGATGCTTCTTCACATCTTTCATGAAGTGAATTGGGTTTCTGGAATATATAGGATTCAGGAAGGTGCTTGGAGAGTTGAAGAATAAAATGCTGACAGAATTGGATTCAAAGTGAAGTTTTAACTTTTTTTTTGTTAATAGTAGAAGAAAATTGTCAACTATAAGAAGAGTAGTAGGTTTCAAACCAGGAATTAAAATAATCAAGTAAGTTTTTTAGAGATGAAATGCAAAATTTTTTGAAAAATAGTATTTTAGGGATATTAAAAAAGAGCTTGATATTGAATCTAGCATCTAATTGAATAGTAAGGTATTTTTGATCAAAATTAGTGGTTTGAATGAAAGATTCAATTTTGAATCTTTTGAGTCTAAGCTTTAAATTTTTAGCAAATTTTTGGTAATCAATTGATTGGTAGTTATTAGATAAAAAGAGGTGAAGTTATACAAGATTAAGGCAAAGTTGCAGGCAGTTATGAGTAGTATATGAAGGGATGATAACTGGTAAGGCAAAGATTTTAAGATAATTGAGTTTTGTAAAAAGAACAGTTGTGAATTTAAAGAGTAGATTTTTGAGAGTAGATTCAAGAAGATCAAAGAAAATAATAGCACTTTTGTCAATATTAGGATTGCTATTATAGATAAGGTCAGTTAAAAATTCTGGGCATTGTCCAGCTATGATACAGATAATATAATAAAATAAAGTCTTGAGTGCAGGTTGAGTAAAGATGGCAGATTTAATTTTTTTATCAGAATAAAAATTATAAAGAAATTTTTTAAGAAAAGTAAAAAGTTAAAGAGAAAATATGATTTATAATTTTTTGTTAGATTGCATTTCTTCAGTGATTGAAAAATTTGCAAGCCAGTCATATGTAGGATTAGATTTTGGTTTGGCAACACTAGAGTAGGTTTGAAGAGAAGGTTTGTTAGAAGTACTGTCAGATGGGTTAGTATTGTTAGAGTTATTTAAATTTAAATTAGTATTATTAGGAATGTTAGTAATTGGAGGTTGATTAGAGATAGGATTAGTATTGGTAGTTGTAGCAAAAAAGAAGTTGATAAGATTAGAAAAAGTAGAGGTTTGATGAGAAGGAGTAGTAAAGGGATTGGTGATATAAGAGGATTCATATAGAATGTTTTGGAAGGTTTGAGTGAGGTTTTTCTTGGTTTGAGATAAGCTAGCTTCATGTTGAGATAAGACAGTCATACAGACAAGGTGATAAACTTCATTGTTTTTAGTAATGTATTTTTTGTTTGGATAATAGTGATTATTTCTTTTGGTACAGCCAATTAGAAGAGAACATTTAGGGCAGATATAATAATGTATATCAGAAATGGGAGATAAAGGAATATTATCAGTTGAGAAGGAAAGATTAGTTAGGAGTTGTTGAGCTGGTTTGTTGAGGTTCTTTTTTGTATTACTGTTAACATGAACTGTAGTGAATTCAGTAACTTGGATATGATTAGTGTTAGTAGTTAAGATGAATTTGGTGTGATATTTGTCACAAAGACAAGTAATCACAGAAATAGAAGTAGGAGCTTAAAAAAAGTAAGTAATTTTGTTAGATCTGAGGTTTTTAATTAAACAAAAAGTTAGTTTGACTTTAAAAGGAATTAGACAAGCATTGTTACCATTTTCTTCTTCATAAAGGTCAATTCCAAAACTGTTAGAATAGTTTTGGTAAAAGTAATCAAGATCTGCATATCAAGTTCTTGGTTGGTTAATATAGACATTTTTAAAATTTGTTATAAATTAAATAAATACTATATTAGAAACTTAGAAAAATTTCTAATAATTGGATAATGATTTTACAAGAGTGGCAGATAGGAACAAGGGTTATATAATTTAGATATTACAGATGTAATACTAGTGTATAACTAGAATGATTGGGGTCATAAAGATGCCTTAGGTACTGATACAAATAAGGTTTGCAACACAAATTGTTGTGTACAATTAATAAAAACCAAATAAGGAAGTAACTAATTATGTTCAATGAATTTTTATAAATAGATGGAGTACAGGATTTTGATATAAATTAATAAAGTATAATTTAGGAAATGATATAGTTATATGAAAACTGTATAAGAGAAAAAGGGAATAGGATAAGAACAAAAGATAGAAAAAAGATTTTGCAAGAGAGTAAAAGATAAATTTAGCTGTATCTTAGCTGATATTGAATCAAAATTCTTCTTTTAGAGCTTGTTTTGACCAGGCAAATGTGTGCTACAACTTTAATTAAGGGTCTAAGATAAGTTATTGCAATAGAAACTGCAAGAGGATTAAAATTTTAAAACTGGAGGCTAAAAGCCATCAGTACAGTCTTCTCTATGAGTTTAAGAAATAAATTTATAATATTTTCAAAATATATATAAATTGATAAGCTTAACAAGTTTATTTAAGACACTAGGACAGGTTGTCTTAGTAAAATAAAAAGATATAAGTGTTTTTAGATGAATGCTTTTTTTAGTTAATTTTTGTGCAATGGATTTGCAGAAAGAGTTTATCTTTATATATTTGATATATATGATATTATTTCAAATTCTAATTAACTAATAATATTTCAAATTTTTTACAATAATCAAGTATACAAAGATCATTGTGAAATGTATAAATGAGCAAAGATATTAAATATCATATATAGTATAAACATTTTATTATTAGCTAGCTCCAATTTTAGAGTATATTATGCATTATTATATTATGTTTTATTTTTTGATATATATATGAGTTGTATTCACTTTATTTATTCTAGACTGTTTTATTTTGAATTTTATATACATTAGGTAGGTTAATAAAAAATTATCTAGATTAGTAATATGCAATGTGGTATACTTTATTCTTAGAGATAGGTATACACTTGATATTTAATATCTTTGCTCATTCATACATTTCATAATGATCTTTTTATACTTAATTATTGTAAGAAATGCATTTCACTTGCTATGATATAGAATATCACATGTAGTCTGTAGAGTATTTTCAGAATTTCTAGTATATGATTTTACTTAGTTGATAATTCTTGAGGATGTTTAATTTTCTCTCTAGCATTCTTCTCATACTCTGTTAATAGAATTTCTAGTAAACTTCATACCTGGACCAGTTATCTAATGTTAGTATCATAGATATATCTGCATCAGAGTCTTGAGCTAAGAAGGCTGAAATTGCTCGCATGTCCTTTGCTCTTGCATTTGGGCCTGTAATCAACAAAATGTTCTTTATTTAGTGAGCAATAGTGTTTATTGATGCTGGTCCAAATAGATAAATAGATGTTAAAAATAATGTCTTCTTTTGAATCATAATAATATATAAGTTCTTAGTTCTATTAATCATCATATCAGGAACATAGTACAAAGTACAAAGTGTATAGTTAATAGACAACTAAAATGGTCAGTGTACAAAATCTGGATTGCTATTAGATAATAAAAAGTATACATAGAACTTATATATACTACATAATATGTATTCATAAATATGCACATATATTTATGTGCAAGAAGAGTTATTTCTGTATATAAAGAATAATTGGATGTAAATTATCTTAAAACAGTTAGAGTGTTTTCCTATATATCAAAGTTTACTAAGTATTTTGTTATTATATAATATCATTTGTTATATGCAATAAAAATAAGTTCGATATTATATTGAATAAAAAATTATAAATGATAGTACAGATGATATGTTAAACTTTTTTTGTTGTTAACAAGAGCAGTTTATTATTATTATGATGGGAGACTCACTATTAAGAATTCAGGTCTATTGCTTAACAAACTAAATTTTTTTGGAAAACTTGAATTATATTGTATAAATAATATTGAATCAATAGACGAATGAAAAGGAAAAAAAAAAATTTCATATACAAGCAACTTTCTATAATGAACTAATGGTTCATATTTTCTATAACGATTATTTACTATGTTTTGGTACTTAACTCTATAATGAATTCGTTAATTATAGAGTAAGCTCTTTATCTATCAGTTTTTGAAAAATTTTGAATTTGATGTTTTTATATTTATTTAACAGTAAATGAGAATATTGCTAAATTAGTTACAATGTTAGAATTTTATTTTCATAAAATAAAATAAAATAAATAAATAAATAAATAAATAAAAAATCTCAGCTACATATATAGTGTTGATAAATATAATAAAAATATATATATATAAATAGATTAAATAAAAATAAAAAAAGGAACAAAGACCTAAATAATAAAATAAATAAAGCTACTGCTATAAATATGAGTTGAATATTAAAGCTAGAAAATTATTCTTGTTAATTAATTAGCAATAAATTTATATATACAGAATAGCCAATTCTTAGCATAATTGAAAAAAAGAATAATCGAATATAAACATAATTAAGTTTATTTTTTTCTTTTTTTTCTTTTTGCTAATTTGGATCTTAACTTTCTCATATGATTGGGTATCTGAATTATAATTATCATCATTACTATCAAACTCATCCCCAGTCAGGTTTTTATTTTAAACAGTTTTAAATATTGTTATAGATGAAAGCCTTCTTAATTTTCACACTATAATGATGACACAGCACAGAGAATCCCTTACAGGTATATGCGGTATCCAAGAGGGAAGTATAGCTTCTGTTAGATGTTGTCAAGAAACTATACTCTTTTCTGAGACAGTTCAGGAAAGATAATGCAATACTAATAACTTTACTTTATTTCACTAGGAGGAGATAAACCTTGCCTGTAGGAATTACCCTAGAGGGGAGTATCAATACAGTTTATAGTCAAAAGCTGTTTATTAAAGTAATAACAAGAAGGGCTATTCTTAGGTTTCTGT